GGCTGCCTTCCTCCTAGCAGCCCGCTAGGCGCCGGGCGATCGCAGCCGCCGCCGCGCCGGAGACAGAGGGTGCCCCAGGCGGGCTGAGCGCTCGGTGCTAAGAGTGGGCCGGACCGACGCCAGGGACAAAGGCTCTCCAGGCAAGAGGGGCTGCGGCCCTGCAACGGCGCGCTCGCGCCTGCCGGCCCCGGCCCCACCGCCCTTGCGTCTCGCATCCGAGCTTCTGCTCATCCCCAGCCCGCGCCCCTTCCTTTGCGCTCCCCGCCGGAAGGCCTGCGATGGAGGTCCCGCCCCGGCTCGCCCATGTGCCGCCGCCATTGTTCCCCGCTGCTCCCGCGCCCCTGGCCTCCCGCAGTCTCTCCCATTGGCGGCCGCGGGCGCCGCGGCAGCTCGCCCCTCTCCTCCCTTCGCTTGCTGTTGGCGCTGCCCGGCAGGGGGCGCGCCGGGTCCCGCGCCACGTCACCGCGCAGCAGCCCTCCCGATTGGCGGGCGGGGCGGCTATAAAGGGAGGGCGCAGGCGGCGCCCGGACCTCTTCCGCCGCCATTTTAAATCTAGCTCCATACAACGCTCCGCTGCCGCCAGCACCCCCGCGACCCGGACCGCGCGCCCGCTCGCCCCAGCCGGCGGCTCCGCCACCATGGAGGACATGAACGAGTACAGCAATATAGAGGAATTCGCCGAGGGTTCCAAAATCAACGCGAGCAAGAACCAGCAGGATGACGGGTACCACACGCTCCCCCCTCAGGTTCTCCCCCCTAGAGCGCTGCACGCGCCTGCCGTCCCCGGGAGCCGCGCGCTCTCCCCGTTGTCGCCCTGAGGAGGTTCCCCGCGTGCCCCCGGACCCCGCAAGCTCGGAGGAGACAGGAATGAGAGAGCTGGCGCGGGGGACTTAAGAGGCCTCGGAGGTTGGGGGCAGGGCGGAGAGGGCGGTGGCATCCGGACTGCGCAGGCGCCGCGCGGGCGGGGCCGGGCCGGAGCCGGCGGACGCGCCTCTCGGCCCAGCTGCCGCCGCCTCTTCATTGTGTTCGTGCTGCCCCGGGCCGCGCTGCGAGCGAAGACTTGGGGGAAAGTCACGTTTAGGCACCTCAGAAGGGCCCGCAGCGTTATACAGCGAGCTGCTTAGGTGCATCGTTGGCTTGACAGCTGAGAACGCAGGTAGACTGAAGTAGGGACGGACGGGATAGGAAGTTTGGCTTTCTGGTGCAAAGAAACCTGGCTAGGATCTTTTTCACTTTTCCAGTGTGTTGGCCTCTAGGGTTTACAGTGTGAAAAGCATCGGGCTGGCTTGAATTTTTGAGATTGTCTTCCATTGTTTACATGTCTTTTGAAATTTTAGACTGAAAAATGGTTTACTTTTAGAAAATCTTTGTGTTTACTTCACGGTTTAATTACTAGATTAAAATATTTAAGTTGCGTTAAATTTTTATTTTTAGTAAAATGTTTATTGGAGGCTTGAGCTGGGATACAAGCAAGAAAGATCTGACTGAGTACTTGTCTCGATTTGGGGAAGTTGTAGACTGCACAATTAAAACAGACCCAGTCACTGGAAGATCAAGAGGATTTGGATTTGTGCTTTTCAAAGATGCTGCTAGTGTTGATAAGGTGGGCATGTGTTTGGCATTGTTTTTGTATGTTTGTTTGTTTGTTTGTTTGTTTTGGAAATGTCCTGAGGCTTGTATACTGCTGACGTTTTCTTAAATTGTCTCCTAGGTTTTGGAATTAAAAGAACACAAACTGGATGGCAAATTGATAGACCCTAAAAGAGCCAAAGCTTTAAAAGGGAAAGAACCCCCTAAAAAGGTGTTTGTGGGAGGATTGAGCCCAGATACTTCTGAAGAACAGATTAAAGAATATTTTGGAGCTTTTGGAGAGGTGTGATGTAGTTATTTTCATGTATCCTACATGTGTTTATTGAATGTTCATCCCAGATGTAGTTTGTGTGTTACTTAATACTTGCTTGTTAGGGTTGGGTTAAATTACTATTCAAATGCCTTCTATCAAACGCATTTTAATTGCTTTCTGTGTTACAGTGAAAATGAGTATCATTTATTTTGGGCAAAACCCAGGTGTTTTGATGATACTACCGTCTCTTGAGTGCAGTTGTTAAAAACTGTTGTACTCTTTCTCAATGCTTGATACACAGTAAATCTTATAGGTTGTTCAGAGGTCTTTTCAGCATTTATCTGATTAGCACCTTAATTCCCTTGTACCATTCTGGATGATCTTGACATCATGAATGTGTGTCTTGGTTGCAGATAGAAAATATTGAACTTCCCATGGATACAAAAACAAATGAAAGGAGAGGATTTTGTTTCATCACATACACAGATGAAGAACCAGTCAAGAAACTGTTAGAAAGCAGATACCATCAAATTGGTTCTGGAAAGGTAAGACAATTTAATTACAGTAAAAGAATTAGAGAATTTCAATGAAAAATGTTATACTGAGAAAAAAGATGACTTGGTGGTAGCAGTTCAGTAAAAATCCTGTTTATATTTTCTGTCTACAGTGTGAAATCAAAGTTGCACAGCCCAAAGAGGTATATCGGCAGCAACAGCAACAACAAAAAGGAGGAAGAGGTGCTGCAGCTGGTGGACGAGGTGGTACTAGGGGTCGTGGTCGAGGTAAGACTTAATTCTGTGAAGTGACTAGTTTAAGCTGTCTACTGCTCAGTAAAATTAAGCCCATGAGAAAGGAAGGTGAAATTTAAACCTGACACTAACATAAACTCTAGCCTGGGGGTTTTGTTTGTTAGTGAGCTCTGAGACTGAGTGTAAAATAGCCCAGCCTGGGTGACTTAGTGGGAACCCTGTCTTAGAATACAAAATTAAGGTCCGGGGAGATAGCTCAGTAGGATAAGCTCTTGCCTGTCAGGTGCAGGGTCCTGAATTCAATCCCCAGTACTGCAAATAAGAAGAAAAAAAAAAATTAAGAGATTAGTGATGTAGCTCAGTGCAGAGGCCCTGCATTCAATAAAATGAATTTAGTGGTTTTGTTTATTCCAAGAATGGCCACATTGATAATGGTGTCACTGTTGAGGAAATAATACCATTACATGTTTTGTTGGGCAGGAGTTCTTGTTTGAAGTGGAATAGCCTGCCCATCTTACACTATAATGGACAATCTAATGGTTTTTCCAATAAATTTAGGAAACTTGAGACTGGTATAGTTAGATATTCCGTTCTCCTTGTAACAACAAAAAATTCTAGTAGGTAGCAAGATTTGTGTCCATTTTGTAGAATAAGGCATAAGAGCATATCATTTTGTGTTACGATTAGGGGTCAGAGGTTGTTTTCTAATAATCACTGCATTGTTTCAGGTCAGGGCCAAAACTGGAACCAAGGATTTAATAACTATTATGATCAAGGATATGGAAATTACAATAGTGCCTATGGTGGTGATCAAAACTATAGTGGCTATGGCGGATATGATTATACTGGGTATAACTATGGGAACTATGGATATGGACAGGGATATGCAGACTACAGTGGTAAGAATATTTTACTTTCATAAACCAAT